GATCTCTTTTCACAGCAGTTTAGCGTATAATTAAAGTATAGGATCCTAAAAGACCATTGCATAGTAGTGGTTATTTTGGGATGCTATACTTTTGTATGCGATATTTTATAATTAAAAATCAATTAAAATTGTGGTAAAATCCGCGCAACGATCACTATATGTACGTGCTCCGTTCGCATAAATTATATTTCAATGCGTTAAGTAGTATCTCGTGTTGTGTGAGGCAACATCGGCACACGATTCTCAATGAATTGAAAAATGGCAGACTCATTGTACAGATCCCAAGAAATCGTCCCGTCAAAGCTCCTTCAACAGGGCGGATTTCGCGTTTTTAAGTTTATCCAATCGCCTTTGTAAATGAGAATTTGCTGTTTCCAATTCTTCTACCCGACCTTGAGTTTCCCTGACCTGTAAAAAAACCGATTATTTTCGATTCATTTAGCACGACGCATGTTCAAATTCAAAGTGCAGAACTTCTACTTACTTCTCTTTGTAATTTTCTCTTTTCTACTTTCAATTCATCCTCTGCTTTTTCAGATGCCTCCGCTGCCGACTTGTAACGTATTACTTGACTTTCTAACCTGGCTACGGTGGCTTGCAAAGTGGACATGTCCTGTTCAGCTTTTTGAAGCTTGAATTTGTAATCGGCCAGAAGCTTGTTTGCTTCTCGTTGCACGTCTTCGGAGTCTGACAAACAGCCTAGAGAAAATAGTTATCGCGTTCAAAAAAGATAAAAAGAAATTTTACATTTCCAGGACCAACGTATTTTGCAATAGCGATACAAACCTAATACTGAACCAGGTGATCTTTCGGACCTAATACGATTTCTTGTCTCCTCTAGTTCCAGTCTGAGATGTCGTATCTCATCTTGCAATTCTTTTTTTTCAGAAGCAAATTTTCTCAGCCGGACATCTATAATTGATCACAAAACACCCTGTTATATATCCTCTTACTTTTAAAAAATACTCCGTCTTCTATAACTGCATACCTAGCGAACCCTTTCCAGCGTTTTGCAATAATTCTGCTGCTTCTGCACTGACTAGTACTCTTCGCCTTGGGCGCGGGCCATTTTCAATTTCGGTATCTTCATTTTCACTTCCCTCGTCGTCGATAATAACTAAACCGTTTTCCTAAAGTAATTTTATTTTTGAATTATAAAGCTAAAATCAACGGACGACAAACGGCATATCTGTTTAAATTTGCTATTTACTTGTATAAGCGTATCTCTTTCTACTAGTTGTGCATGGCATACATCTAACTCGTCTTTCAATGTTTGACTGAGTCTTTTCAACTGTTCGGATTCCCGATTCTTCTCTCTAAGCTCCCTACGAAGTTGTGCAACCATTTCTTCCAATTCTTCCAATTTATCTTTCAATAAATCGACTTGATAAGCATACGACGATTTTTCATTGTCTAACTGAGCATTGGCTATCATCGCCTTCCTAAACTTTTCCTCGAATTCTTTCAATTCTAACTGCAAAGTAATGATTCGAACTTTTAAGTGATATTTTACGTTTGCAACATAAATTGCAAGATAAAAAGATGTTAGTACCCTGAGATCTCTGCTTAGGCCAGCATCCTCCAATGAATCTTCCGAAGATCTCCGACTGGATTGGAAATTATTAGAATTCGTAAGAAGACGCGACGTCCTTACAGAGTCGGGAGTCACTCTCATTGTTCTATTCACGTCGGCTGAAAAATCGAGGGCAGGACATTTTACTTCGTTGCTCTAAAATTTCATTTGGATCGAACTTCTCAAATAAATACCTGAACACATGTCGTAAACTCTATCTGCGTTTTCCTCCGCTTCTTTTTGTTGCCTTTCTAACTCCCGCATTCGTATTTCTCTAGCTTCCGCTCTTGCCTGTCTTCTAGCGGCTAATCTAGCTTCTGCCTGAAAGTATGTATGGAAAATCCATCCTGTTACCAAAAACATAGTTTCACATTCAATTTATTATTAACACATCGACACATGATATAGAAACACTGTCATAAATGTATATTAGACATGACATTTATTAGAGTTTATATGACAATAACATGCAAGATCCAATATCACTTTGAATTAACAGATACTTACTTTAATTTAGCCACAATCAAAAGGTACATCAATTAAATTAACAATGCATAGTATAATGTAATGCATAATATATACAATATCTCACTCACATATGGCTTACTTATGTACTAATTTTTTACGTTGTCTTATTTAAAGATAAACTTATCAAGGGAGATACAAATCCCACTTGTTACAAGCATGCACACATTTATGTACCGAAGGTCAAGCAACACTTACAGCAATATTTGCTAATACCGTTACTTGTCAGTTTTTACACAATACAATAAATTTGAAATTCTTGATGTTGGCTTTTTTTTTATTTTTCTTTGACAAGTATCATCTTGTGAAATAATCGAGCCATACTCTCATAAAATAATCGAGCCATACCTCCTTGGCTATCTGATCCAGAGCCTGATCTTCTGCTGAATGTCGTGCGGTTGTCCGCCTACGTCCAGCTATAGCAGACTCCATTTTCAGTATTCAGTGATTTAGTATCAGTACTTTGCTCGAGTATCAGGTAGGCTTGTGCTAGGCGGATCCACGTCCTTCACCGTACAAGAAGACAAACCACCACACTAAAGGACAAAGGGACAATACGCTAGAGCTAGAAATATGTGAGCGTGACTTGAAAAAGCATGATTAACGTACGCATTACGACCAAAAGAACAAATGGGTGAATGACGTTTGCGACGCGACCAGACATAAACGAAGCGTTAACGTTAAAACATTGCAACAGGCTTAAGAACTTATTTCAAACGGCAACTCATTCTGATAACGTTCTCGACCGTTGTCGAGGGCAATTAGTAGATTATTGGTAATTACGCATTATGCAACGAAAAGATACATTTGTACGTGGTGAACGGCGACGAGCAGAAAATGGGACGGTTATCGGTTCGAATCGCTTGAAACGGCTCGAGGGAGAGTCGATGAAAATCGATGAAATCTCGGAAAACATCCGAGAACCTGGAATTAGTTTTTTCTTCGAGGCTTGAATCTACCGGAGAATAAGCTTCGTACTTTTTCTTTTTTCGCAAGTTATAGGTTAACAGTGCCCGGCGACATGTGAGGGCACGTTCGAAATAGAACCGTAAAAAAAGTATCTAGCACAGGTGGAACACAGTTTTTTTTCGCCAGTTCCGATGTTACGACGTTCTCACGCTAAGAATAAAACGACGCATCTTCTTCAATGCGGTCTGACTGTGCGTTCACTCGGATTACCGTTTTTACCGTGGTGGTAACGCGACAAACGACTCGCCCACAAGAGAAAAGATCGCGTTTGCCGATCGGATATCATCGAGGACGACGTCGACGAACGAATCACGGAGGGGACACAGGATCATACGGATCTAGAACAAAAACGAAATAAAGAATCTGGCAATCGAGCTGGGTAACGTTCGACGATATATATTAAATAGCATGCACACCCACACATCACGTCAGGCCAAATACATGCAAATAAGACCTTACTGTAGTCGTCGATCGTCTTTTTCTCTCTTTGTCTCTCCCTCTCTTTCTCT